CATTAGCACCTCTAGTAATATATTTACTGAGAAAAATGGTGACGTGTTCAATACTTATTTTACCCGCTGTATATTAATGCAGAGGCATGATGATAAAAGGCAGACTAAAGTAGTGACAGCTACTGAGTGTACCTTGCAGTTACATGTACTGTGTGTACCTTGCAGTACCAGGTACTGAGTACTCACGGGAGGTGTCGGTTGTGGCGCTCTGGGCTCTGATCTGCTGCTGGAGGAGACATGAACTCCTGGCAACTAAAACAAGGGGAAAACRGAGTCAAACGAGGGGTAAACCTGCTGCTGTGTGAGAACATACAACGCTGCGGAGCAGCTGGTTCAATAAATTAATAAAATATAAAATCCGATTGCACCTATGTGCACATATGAAACTAATCTGGACACAACAACAGAGCAATGATCCTGTATTCTGTCTGTTAGCGTTAGCTCGAAGGTCAGTCAGAGATTCGACAAAACAAGATTTCTTTCGGTCAAATAAAGTACACATAACGATGCGACATAAAGTATCGAAACTTCAACATGCATACAGTAAAACAAACACTGATACATTATCAACTTACTGGTAAAACTCCTTCCAAGACCTCCGCGGAGAAACGAAACCAGCGACGCCGCCATGTTTGTTCCGTTGGAGATGCAGCTGTGAGTGTGTCGCCCCCTACAGGTGCGGAGGACAACACACATCCTAAATGTCTGAGCTCAGAGCTCATGTGTTGTTAAAAACACGTATAAAACAGCGGGGAATTGAACAGGACAACAGCCATGTGTAGTATTTTGGGTGCATATTCATAAGCACACATAGGATCCACATTGTCTTTTAAAATGTTTCTGTTTTGCTCCCAGAGGAAGATGAAACTGTCAGATATGGTCTAATCGCAGTACTTGACTTTAATCCTTATGTTTATTTTATTATTTAATTAACACAAGCCTTTTTTAGGATTTGCCAGTACTTCAAAAAACCTCAACTTTATACTGGAAGTCCGTAATTCTTGTCTAATTGCTACACAGGCTCATGAGTGTGTAAAATTGAGTCACAGAACAAAGCTTGGTGAGTGGTCAGCAACACAATTAAAACTCTGCATTTATTTATGTAATAATTAACCCTAAACTAACTAGAACAAATATGAGTGTTACACCAAATTAAAAAAAAATATGACAGCATTTTGTGATACAAATGTTTATTCAACTTCCTTGGTAGTTTTCTTTTTAAAGCTTTGTAAAAAAAAATACACTGATAATAAAATTTAAACTCCTATAGTAGAGCAGCTGCTTCATAACAAAATCTTTTTTTCCTCTGTTTAAACCAAATGCAAGAAGCAGAAAGTGAAGCTCAAATTTACAGTCGGAGATGATTGTACAATATTTTCTAACAAAGTATTTAGATGTTGGATAAAACACCCAAACCACACCTGGACCAAGAAATTAAACAATCACAAAAACAAAATGAATTGTCTTCCTAGTAGCTTAACCATTAATAATAAAAAACTGTAGTTTTACATAAAAACATAAAAATAAGATTTTAAAACATAAACAGGTATAACATTTAGAAAGCAGCTGTGTTTTCTATCACTGGAGCTTTGATGGAGGCACAGTCCAGTTTTCAGGCTCAGAGGGGACATAGGAAGGTCTGACCGGTCTCTCTCTCTCAGCTGGACCGTCCACACACCTCCTCGTGGTATTTCCTGAGCATCTCCAGCTGAGCTGAGCGCACCAGGATGTGTGGTCGCACTGACGCCAGCTTCTGACAGGCCTCCTCCGGACTGCAGCTGTGTAACTGTCAAAAAAAATAAAAAAAAAACACACCAGGTCCTCGCTGAGTCAGCAGAACAGACCAACTTTTACAGACTCAGCAGTGAAGTTTCAACAAAATGYCATTAAGCTGTGAGCAGGATAAAAACTAGAGCTGGACAATCAAACAAAATGTATTTATCAGCATAGACACTGGATCAATATCAATGGAAAATTTCACTAAACTCCAATCCAGAAGCACACAGCATGCTGGGGGGTGTATGCAGAGGAAAGGCCCAGCAACAGGCCTCTATAACGTTTTAGGTAACTTATGCCAACTTGTGAAAATTTTCAAGACGTCTACGTTGAAGATGGAATTAAAAAAGTCAACTAGAAGCCTCTTTTAGGTGTGTACGTACTATAATGTTAATTATTTGATTAAATATATAAGTTTTATTAGTTATTCAGACATGTTTTTTTCCATAAGTTGACATAAATTATCTAAAACATTATAGTGTGACAGAGCCTTAAGCAAGGTTGGTGGCATCATCTAACCCACTCACTATTTGGTAAGCTGTGGAGTAACATGTGCAGCAGCAGTTTTATGTTTCACCACCAGGACTGCTTTAAAAAAAACAACAACGATGTGGAGTGAAAATCGAACATGAGCAACAGATCGAGAGGAAAAGTAACGTCACCAGTTTGGTTGTTTTAATCAGCCTTTTCTCTCCTGATCCTTATTTCAAATAGGTAAAAAAAAAACGAATCATAATTATCGAAAGACATATGAATCACTTGTATCCTGGTACATATTGCCAAGCCCTAATAATCACTGACTGATAAATGGAGGAGAGTTAGTTGGAGAGTTGGGTATTTCATAAGCTGGACCTTCAAATCCAAATGTACAAAAAAAAACTTTATTCCTTATTCTGTAATATTAGAAACAGCTCTAAAACGTCTTTTTCCTTTTTGCAATGCTTAAAGACTTTTCTGTTTGAATTTAAATTTAACCTAATCACCGAAACCTCAAGTCAAACTACAAACTGAATGAAAATAATGTTTCGTTAAAGCAACACAGCTTGATGAGTTTGTAATGCAGTTGAAGTGATCACATCCTGTCTCTATTAGAGTAATTGTGTGGTGAACACTACACTAATTACCAGGGGTGCAACGATGCAGAAAACTCATGATTCAGTTCGTTTCGATGCTTTAGTCCAGAGGAGCCCAAACTGGGGCCCCCAAGCCATTTGATTTGTTGCCAAAGTTACAAGGTTGTAACCTGTTATCCTATGTAGAAACACAGTATTTCCACTGGTCAAATGACTATATTGTAGTGAATCTAATTTTCATTCATGTTGCTGACCTTATCTTTGATTTATTAGGATTAAATATGAAACATGAAATGACAACAATAAATGTTTRGATCAGATTTAACCYCACATGTAGATTTGCACACTTTATAAGGCCACAAAAGCTCATATCTTATCAATTTATGAAATATCCCATGAGTCTTGCTACTTGAGCGTATGGCAGACTTTCTCCAAGTGCACTAACTAAAGCAAAAGAGGGCCATTGCATAGCTTAATCGTTAAAAACAAAGAACTTTACTTTAAAAAGTATTTGTATTTCATGTATTATAATACTGCATTTGGCCCGCAGCCATGGATAGATTTTCATTTTGGCCCTCTTAGGGAAAATGTTTGGGCACCCCTGGTATAGCAAATGGCTAAACATTAGGGGTGGGAACATTTTACTCTCTCACAATACGATTCAATTCTGATTTTTGGGGCCACGATTCGATTCAAAATCAATTTTTCATTCAAAGCTGATAATGTGAGCCCATTTGTCGTGTTCCCAAAGTTCTTCATCTTCATTTTGCAAACCTCGCTCACGTCGAACTCACTCATTC